GTTCCGTAGCTCTCTAATAGAGATTTAGCATTATCAGTGCATAATGACTGCAAGTAAGTAATTTTTCAACCGGGCTTAGGCGTGGGTTGTTGCCAATCGCAGTCTGGAAGAGTTCGAACCAGTTGTTCCACTCCAGTGGGTTGCCGTCAAACTTTTGTAGTTTTATATCTGGCAATTTGAATCCCATCAAACTGTAGTTGATGGCAGTGGTCGGATGACTGGTAGCGTGGTTTCTGACTTGTCTTTGTTCATTATCGAAAAGGCTGTTTCGTTGTTTCTCGTGTGCTTGTAAGATAGTCCTATGATGGTCGTTGAAGTGGTTGGTAACGATCTGTTCAGATGTAGTAGCAGGACTATTTGCAATTGAAGTTGTTATCAGACCATATCGGTTATTGCCAGTTGACATCTGGGCTCCGTGTCTTGAGTTGTCGTTCCAAATGAGATTTTCATTGTAAACTGGTGGAGGCGAGAAGTTGTATCGTAGAGGAGCTCGAAAGTTGAAAGTACACGGATTTCCAGACGGTGAGACTGATCTGAAATCAGTTGTAGAAGTAATGATGACACCGTTGATTGTCTGATCTATAGCTCTGTTGATTCCCGGTAGAGGTGGGAAACTATAGCGTTGGGGAGCGTCTAAGTCGAATGTACTCAAGCCGTAGGTGGATGTGTAAGTTGAAGTCGGCAGCCGTAGTGCTGATGAAGGTGTTGTCCAAGTTTTCAGTAGTATTTGAGCTTCTTACTGGTACACTGGCTGTTGCAGATGTGCCTTGACCTTGTGGAAACTGAACCATCGTTTGTTAAGACCTTTTCGTATTTTATAACATTGATTAGTAGGTCGCTTTTTCGTTTGCGTAGCGTTGAAGCAGTGTTGAGGCAGTCTTGTGCTTCCTGAGAAGAAAACGCGGCTAAGTCGTCTGCGAGCGTATCAAGCAGATCAAAACAAGTGGTTATCCCCTCAAAACTGAGTTTAACGTACTCGATTTTGCTTGAGTTGGCTATTTGCCTCGTTACTTCTTCCTCAAGCTCCTCGAAAGTACTGTAGCGGCCACTCCATTGATTGAGTAGCTGTTGTAACGTTGGCTTCGTTAGAGCCATTCAAGAAAGTAGTACAAAGAGTAGAATGATGCATTAAAAGTTTACGAGCTCGGATGGCAGCGATCGCAAAGTAGTTCCGGTAATGAAGCTTTTTTGAGCTTTCTCAAGATTTTTACTATAAGTTACGTTTAATTTTGTGTTTAAGTCAACCAGCCAGAGGGTTAGCCTGGTGGTTAAATAAACAAAGTGAGCTACAGCTCACGCATATATGAGCTTTTTAATTATTGTTAAGGACTAAGCGGTGAAACTTTCTTTTTTTTAACGGTTTTTTTTAAGAGTTCAAATGAGTAAAAAGTTTTGAGACTTTCAAAATTTTTGTAAAACTTGTAGATGTGGCTAGTAAAACCTTTTTTAGTTATGGGTTTAAAGAAAACGTTTCGGAAAAAATGGACTTTTGAAAATTCTCAGCAGCTAGTTTTGGGCTAGACAGTTTTGGCTATCGGGTTTTGGCTATCAGTATTTTTTTGTTGTATAAGTGGGAACCTTGTTATTTTGTGTGTTTTTACTACCTTAATACCCCGAGGATTAAAATTAAATTGACCCATTCAGTACTAACATTTCACATTGGAGGATGTAGATTTCTTTTAAAAAAACTGTACAAAAGTTTAGCACATTTGTTTTAAATTTTTAGCACAATGTGGGTTTTGCTATAGCACGAACTTGAATAAAGCTTTCAAAATCGACTATGGGTTTGAAATTTTTGTAGCAGGATCATAAATTTTTAAGTTTAAGCACAAAAATGTTTTTAAAGTGAAAAAAAATGTTTTCGAAATGGATCTAGCCTGAGTTGTGATGTAGAACCCTTGGTCAGGACCTGTGTTCTGCATCTGAACCTCTGGAGATGTTGGTAGTGAGGTCGAACCGCTGGTTCTGTCCTGGGCTCTGCCTATGGCACGTTGGTTGTGAGGTGGAACCGCTGGTTGTGTCCTGGGCTCTGCCTGTGGAACTTTGGAGATGTTGGTTCTGTCCTAGGTTCTGCCTATGGAACGTTGGAGATGTTGGTTGTGAGGTAGAACCGCTGGTTGTGTCCTGGGCTGTGCCTTGAAGTTGAGGGGGTAGTTGAAGTTGTCCTTGTTGACTTGCTGTAGACTTCGATATCTTTTTCAATTTTTGTCGCCAAATATTTAAGACAGTTTGATGAACATATGTCTTAAAAGTCACTTTGTTGAAGTCAAATTTATTACTCATTAGTTTGGAACAAATCATGCTATTATTAAAAGATTTTACCGAATTTTTCTATAATTAAGGTGAGACAATTCATGTCATGAATATCACTTATTGCTCGTATTCGGTTCAAAGACTGATCAAAGAAGCATTGCTAGCACTTGAAAATCTGGAATTTATTCAGATAGTGGATAGTGTGTGACGAATTCTACTATGAAAGATTCGAGCGATTTCTGCGTTTTAGAGTGCACGATCCTTGAAGCGCAGTCAAATTAGATATTTAAATCACATGGGAGATATCGTTCTGAAAAGGATGGCAAGAAAGGATAGATTTTCCATCAATGTTCGTGGGCTCATAAATGAAAGTCCTCAATTGCTGAGAATAGTTTTGTTGAAATATAGATTGGCAGACTCGCCAGATTTTTGACAAATATCGGGAAAGTTGAGATCACCAAGCACAGTAAACTGTCTGCAATCCGCTTCGATGAGGTTTGATTATCATTTTTTTCTAAGCCCCATTGTAAGTAGAACGCATTCAATTGATAATTCTTCGGTTGGCAACTTAGAAGCAGGCAATGAGGTTGTCAGCCGTGACTTCAGTGACTCCTACGTTTTCTCAACTGTTCGCTCTAATTCTGCTATAAATGTATGGCAGATATTAGGTTTGACTCAGACTGATCCTCGAGCTTTTCTCAATTTTCTGTTGCTTCTTCTTGTACCTTTTTGACCGTTGTCAAGAACCTAGGTGTGAGATTTTCCTCGGTAAAGCCTCTACAATAACTATCGGCAATTCTTCAACAATGTTGATACCCTTCAGGGCTTGAATCATTACACCTCCACCTCTCAATTCACGAGACTTCACTCTGTATTGATCATAACTTTTTATAAGTAAAGCGTTGGAATCACCTTGAGTATTTAACCATGTTTCAGTTATGCATAAAATTGACCGCGGAAATTCAAGACAATATATAAGTGCTTCCAAGTCCCAATTTTTCAACATGGACCTAGCCTTATTGAGTAGCACAGAAGTTACAGCAGATGTAATGTTAATCGGTTCCATTTTCAACTGAAAAAGGAGTTTCTTTGTGAGGCGATGAATTTCTAGCAACTTTAACAGCAGGTTGAATAGCACTAACAATAGCTGGTACAACAGCATTGATCAATTCATTAGCTAGATTACTTTGATTTGTTTCTTCAAGTGGTGAGAGCATGAATTTTCTTTTTGGTCTCAACGCTCCTTTTTGAGTCGGGTTTTCTTTGCAGCGGTGCTGGTAACTTAGGGGTATCAGTTGTTTCGGCCAACGTTCGATAATTTACTGTAGTGTCTGCTTCCATTATTGATTCTTCCAGATATTTATCTGCTACGCTTTTCTGGGGGAGAAAAGACTTAAGCTCATTGCTGGACTTCACTTGAACGGGCCATGAGAAACCAACATTTTTATCGTTTTCGTCTTCCTTTTTCTTAGCGTTGAAGTCTCCTGTGAAGATTGTGTCACACCCTTTGAATTTCATGGTTACTTTGCACAATTCGTTTTAGAAATTTTAGGAGCGTATATATTCACTACTACCCGTTTAGACGGTTTCTAATTCATCCGACAAATTTTTATTCCTTTCACTGTTTCTTTGGAGCAAAACCTTGTCGATTTTCTAAGGGCGATGTACGTGATTCTGTAATTTTTTTTTCGTACATTCCTCCGCGTGGATTATTTTATTCACGTAGAAGGCTTGGCCGTAGTGTTTGTCGGTTCTTTTTAAGCAGAAGATGTCGTAACTGTCGAGATCTCCTTGTAATTCATAGACTTTGGTTTCCTGAAGACGACAAATTTCCATATTTTTTCTGAGTAAGACTTTTCCATATTTTCAGTTGGTTTCTCAGGCGACGTACTTTCCACGTTCCAACAGATACTATGTTTGTGAGACTTTGACTGTCTAGGATAGCCTGACTGCGCATTAACCCAATCAACCATCAATATACTGTAAGGCCATTTTGATCTTTTTTATCACTTGTAACGACACGCATCAAAACTTTGAAAACAAATCGAATTTTCGTTAAAAAAACGAAATATAGTTCAAACATGGATGTGAAATAGATGTTTCATTGATCTAACATCAATGTAACAAAATTGTCAAAACATAGATGTCACATCGATATTTCATCAATGTCGCATCAATGTTTTTGTAATAAGTTATAGAAAAACAATGAACTTGGAATAAACTCACTTAATCTATGCTTTGGTCTGGTATATTACTGAAACTTGTCATAACAATACAATAACAATGATACTTTTTTGAATTAAAATGCAACTTCAACCCGGATAATATCAACAAAGCAGCATTCAAAAATCTCATTGGTAATTGAAAACTTTAATTTGATGTGATTTCTTTCGAAATACGGCTGAATATGAAATAAAGCAGTTTAATTTGAGCAAAACAGGGCAGGGTCTCTAATTTTTTGGGAAGACTCAGAAAATCAATTTGTTCGAGGTAAAAAAAAATTAAAATCAAGCAACCCCCACCCCTTATCGATTAAATTGTAGATCTGCGCATGTTGAATGCCTTTTTTTGGTAGAAGTTTTAATTCATTGTTTCAATTGTTGTATCAGAGAATGTCTTTTGCATATTTTTATTTCGATAATTATTTCAACCGAAATGTTTCATCTAGTTTTCAAAATATTTCGTTGAATAAATAATTCTTTTCTTAAAAGTTGATGCTTCATATTTTTTGTCCGTCTTTCAGGTATCAGATTTGTATAACAACGAATAGTTTTCATTATTTAGCATCAGTAGTTTTCTGCGATGGCCAAGAAATGTTCAGGCGTCGGTTTCAGCTCGACTTGCTCAAAGCTATTCGCAAAAAGTTTTATTCACTCGAAAAGTTCCTCGGAGTATGTTTCAAGCTGTAAATCATTATCGAATCAGTTCCACTACTATCAAACACGTCCAATAACTTCTAATGTGAAGCTACACCACTGTGTTATGTCGCAAAATATGTCTCGCAACCGGATAAAATCCAGTAGAACGAGTAGATGTTTTTCACGTCTTATGAGCTCGTCAGATTCCACGGGTTCAGAAGTATCATTGCTGCCTAAAGCGAGAAGAGCGTTCATGTATGTTCCTGGAGACAGTGAGAAAATGGTACTGAAAGCCTCTCAACTTCTAATTGACTCCATATGTTTAGACATGGAGGATGGTGTGGCAGGTGATATGATACAATATGTGGCACATTGGTATAAATTGAACAGCATTTTTTGAGCATACATAACTTATTTCTAAAGCAGTTTGATCAACATCAAATCAAAGACGCTCTAAAAGACTTAAATCGGCCATCATTTGCTGTCGATCATCTGAAAGTTTGCTGTCGATCATGCTAAAGTCGGTGTAGTCTGTGTTGCTAATTTTGGTTTCAGGTTTCTAAAACTGATTTCAGGCTTGATAAGTCAGACCTTGAAGCGCCGTTTTCACATGTGAATTAAATTGGGTTGTTCTATGTACCGTGGATTGTTATTCCAGAGAAGTTTTTTTTACCTTTATTATCGTCTACACAAATTGTGAAATTAAAAATGCTAACTCCAAATGAGCTAGAGTTGAAAAAGAAATAGGATAAAATGGTTATATAATTAACCTTAAGGAGGGTAGAGGTAAAATATCAAAGAGTCAATATATGTCACCAAGGTGCTTAGTGCATGTTTCTGCGTTAGAGTTCAAACAGCTGGCAGCGGGGTCGCATATATTCGAGCTGCCCTTGTATTTGGCCAGCGAAATGTCACTTGTCATGGATATAAAAAGAGAGCCTGAGAAATTTTACTGGCTGGAGAGAAAAAAATTCGAATGAAACAATTGGTTTGGTTTATCTGCTTTTCGGAGATGACGTAAGTTGATTGGGTGCCAAATAAAAATTCATGTGAAAAAAAAATATATACTACTTTGGTTATCAAAAGCATTGGAATTCATAATAAAATTGTTAGTATTACTTTAATTGGGATAAGGAGTGGAACTTCTAATAGGTTTTAAATTCAGTTCTGTTGTATTCCAGTCGAACAGCGTTCTTAGATGCATAGTATCGTGGCCTGATTGTTTCTTCGGGTTCTATTGTTCTGTTTTGATCTACTATTGTAAAATTATGATAGGCTTGGGCTGACAGCCATCGTTACTTACTGGCCAAAATGCTTTATTTGGATTTTCAAACTCTTTAGACTGGTTTGATATATCTATTCGTAATATGATCATAAAATCATTCAAAAAAGGACCAGTAGAATACTCCTCTACAGGATGTGGCATTTTTTTCCTCTTTCGGAAAGTACTCAACAATTTAATTGCAATGCACAATCTTTTTTCGTCGGTAAAATTGTTTTGGATTTCATACGTTACTTCTGTGTTTTTTTTATATAACAGTATATGGTCCAGAATGTAAATTCAAATGTTTTTGAGGGGTTTCAATACGGGTTCCGACATTTTTTCTTGCAATTTTTTTGTCCCTTCTTTTATAGGCTTTCCTAATTTGAACTGGTATTATAGGAGTGGGCCTGATTAGTAATGCGGCGGCAATTAGCATAATTATTACTGTAGATTATTTTGAAATCTTTTTCCTCTTTCATTATTTCTATCGATATGCGATTTTGAAGAAATTTGTTTATTCTCTCATTATTCGACTGGTGTTCACTAGGTGTACGATCGTTGAGACAGCACAAAAGTCAGATGCACATCTTTTGTTTTGATCACGAGACAGACCTAAGTTAAGGCTTAAGGGAACCTGGTGCTGAATGCCAATTACAATCTCATATGATGTATATCCCGTACTATAATTGATGGCGGTATTGTGTGCGAAAGTAAATTTTTGTTTGTCAGCTCAGACCAGTTTGAGCCTGAGGTAATATAAAATGCCTGATTTTTCAGGTTAAATGCTTGTTTTGGATTTTCGGCTTTTCCCTTAGACCACGGAGAATATGCGGTTCTAACTCTCAGAGTTATTTTGAGTTCCGATGACCAATGAGCAAAATAATTGCTCATAAATGCACTTCGTTATCATTGATAATTTGCTGCGGAAAACCAAATGTGCTTATGTATTTTTCTAATAGCTTAATGGTCTGTTTTGAGTCTACATGGATAAACAAGGACATATCGGGAAAAGGCGTCGGCAACAATTAGGCAATAATTTTTGCCTCGACTCCATGGTCTCAATGGACTTTTGCGATCAATGTGAATTGTTATCATTGGACCTGGTTCCAGTCGCCCCCATTGTTGTTATGGAGCTTCATTTAAGTCCTTTCTTTTGGGTTCATTCGTCTGATATTCTAAACATTCATGAAGCAGCATATTTGTAAAGTCCTGGTTTCACCATGGTGGTTGTTTATAGGCTAATTCACCTGCGCTAAATTCGACAGAGCAGATTTTTGGACTCTGAGTGCAATCAGCACTATCTTCATTCGTGCGTAAGAGATCAGTTTGTTCGTCATTGAACAAAAGTACATATTGCTGAATATAAGCTTTCAATCCTCTTTCCTCAAGATATACTGTTATGTTGTTTCTGACGGGTTTTTCATGGTTTTTTTATATATACAATTACAGTATCATTGTACTGTTCTTCGCGAATTGTGTCATTATCCGAGTTTGAGTTTTCTGCACACTCATTTTCGAAAGTAGTTCTAAAATAACTTGGTTTGTTGCTTTCACATTCGAGGCTAGGGGGTCCAATTAACTTTAAAGCCGGTGTAGGAATCGTATGATTGTTATGCCTTTGGCTAAATTTTGAAAGAGACTGTTTTCAGCGTTTCCTTCCAATAAATTGAGTCTTTCTGATTGGTCTAGGTAATGGTCCAATGCGATGATTTCGCCAGGAGTTTTCTCATTTAAATTATCGTCTGTTATATCAGGTTGTGATAATTTTTTTATCTGATTGATTTTTTTATTCAAATCGGGAGAAATCGTTTTTTTTAATTGAGCAACAAGACTCTTCGATTCGAAGTAGTCTGAAGCGTCTTCTATACTGAAATCACCTTTTTCACTAATGTTTATCATTTTCTTTTAGTGAAATCATCTTTATCACTAACATTTATCATTTTCTTATCATTTTGTGTAATACACAATAATTTATTTGTTTTCTACTTGATATTTTTAAATATCACGATGTGTTAGGTTTCGACTTAATAAGTCAGGTAATGCTTAGTTTTTACCCTGTGTGGCCCTTTAAAACGGCTATTTTAGATACATTGGGATAATCATTATAATAAAAGCCATGAAATAACTCCTTAATTGGTTTTCAGTTCCGCTGCTGGGATATGGAAATAAAGGGCTATAAGGAAAGGATGGCAAAATCTATTCCAATTAAATCACATTTCATCTTCTGTTATCCATGCTTAGTGATTGAAAGGATATTTTCCATCAGTGTCAAAACATGATTGAGTTGAAGTATGACCTAACATTCGTACTTCAGATCCATTGTAGGATTTTGCTTTTCTTCTGAATTTGTAAAATTGTTTTTTTGACCTAGTTTTTTGTAAATCTTGATAAAAGGATAGTTTATTATACTGCATGATGACTCTGAATCAAACCTAACTTCCATTTCCAAAAATCTGTTTCTTATTTTTGTCTCCGGTGGCAAAATGATAGAGTTTAAGGTGTATCCTTGGTTTAGGATTACTATCCTTACTCGGTTTCGGAGACTTAAACAGTTTAGAGGTAAAAGATCAATGATTGCATTGCAATAGTCTATTTTGGAAACTCGGCGAATGAGATCAGTTTGATTCTCTGCTGCTATTACGATTATAGTCATTTGGATAATTTTGTCGACCTCTAGGGTCATTAATAGGTTGTCGTCTATTATCTTGGCATAATATTCTTCAGAGGCTTGCTGATTTTTTCGAAAAACATTTTTTGAATTTTGGGCAGGCTGACTATTTTTTCTTTGGTAAGCATTTTCTTTATAATTATTATAATAACGAATGGTGTAGTTATTTTGATTTGGGTTAGAACAATTCTGATTATTTCCAAAATTGCCTTTGTTTCTCTTTCCTTACTGACTGTTTTGGTCGGGAAAATTATTGGGCCTTTGCTTCCTATAATTAGTTCCGATTGAGACCTTTCGCTCTTTTTTAAATGTCAATTCTTTTCTCAGTTTGCTCACTTCATCTTTTATTTACTTTTTGGAGCACTTGGATAAGGAATGTCCATTCATTCTGCAATGTTCACAAAATCTGGTATTGTTTGGCTTAACCATTATGTCAGGCTTGCAGCAATGAAAATGATGTTTTATCAAAAGCTTCTTGATGTTTTATCATTTAGATTAATTCCCTTAATTGAGTTTCCAAGGAAGTTATTTTGTCAGTTGTAGATTTATTGGCCGGATCTGTAGATTTACTTAATGTTAGATCCTAAGTGATGACATTTTCTGTAAATTCATCTCAAGTTGAATTTGGATGTTCGATCATGTATTCATGAGCCTTTTGTTTCAGAGATAATGGTCTTAACCCCCTTCATGTAAAAATCATTGTATTTTTAGCTTCTTTGTCGAGCTTTTGTAATTGCTGCAGCGTCTCTAGCGGCGTTAATAAACGCTGGATTAATGTTTTCTGGCCAACCTTTATCTACAGAATTTTTAATTCTGCAAATAATTTTTGAATAGTTAACTATCTTGGCGAACTGCATTTTCGACATCAACCCTATGTTTAAATTGGTCTCTACAGTCAACGAATTGATCTAGGAAGCCTCCCTTCAGTTGATCCCATGTAGTTATTTATGTAACATTCGCCCAGAAATTACACAGTGATGGAGCGCCGAAAAAGTACCTATTGACGGTTGGCTGACGTCAGTTACCTTAATTCTACTCCTTTTTAATCGTCTTGACCTAGCCAGTTGATTTTCTTGGTCTTTTTATGGGCTAATTATCATGTCACCGTTTTTAGGGCATCAGCCAAACGAGTTTTAATCAGCTTTAGTTCATATGCAAAAATAACCTCGTAGCTGGGTCTCGGATCTACATAAAACGTTACAATTACTAAAAACACGGGCCAATAACCACAATGTAAAATATTTTAGTGACAGTTACATACTGGATTCATTAGAGATGAATTGAAACTTTCCTCGCCCTTAACTGCTCATGCACTGAAATACTATATCAATATCGAATTAGTTTAAATGCGTTCAGGGCATTACAACAGCTAAAAGTTGGTTAATGTTTGTTAAAAGTCTCTAGACACCGGGCCTCTAACTGGAACGTCAGCCATTTTTGTAGTTTGTTAGAAAGAAAGGAAAATTATGAAAGCATAGGGTAGATTGAAAAAGAATTAAATTCATTCTATCCTATCATTTTAAATTCAAAGTTTTTAATTTAGTTCAAGTTAACAATTTGGAACGTATGAAGTCTCTCTAATTTGAGGAGGACAATAAATTCTCTTGTTTTGAGAAAATCAATTGACAATTCGCTCTTTTTTTTGGAACGTGATAGATTTCTCTGGCTTTCAAAATTGTTTTAGACAGATAGTTCTCTCTCTAGAGAATGAGAACAATTTTCCTAGATAATTGTACGCCTCACTGGTCGCACCAATGGATTATACTAGCTGGACATTCATCCTAATACGCGAGATAGCGCTGCTAGTTAATAAGATAGCCGTTCTACATTAAGAAAACTATTCTTTTCTCTAGATTTTATTATCGGACAAATTGTTTATTTTATATCAGATGTTTAAGCCTGATTAAAGTTTTATGTTTTAAGAGGTTAAAAAGGATGAACCCGGAACTATTTTCCGAAATAGTGAATGTACATTCATTCTACATTGTTCACAGAATCTAGTATTGTTGGGCTTAACCTTTGTGTCAGGGTTGCAGCAATGAAAATGATGTTTTATCAGTTAGGTTAATTCCCTTAATTGAGTTTCCAAGGAAGTTATTTTGTCAGTTGTAGATTTATTGGCCGGATCTGTAGCATTACTGAGTGTTAGATCCTTAGTGATGACATTTTTCTGTAAATTCATCTCAAGTTGAATTTGGATGTTCGATCATGTATTCATGAGCTTTTTGTTTCAGAGATAATGGTCTTAACCCCTTCATGTAAAAACCAATGTACTTTTAGCTTCTTAGTCGAGCTTTTGTAATTGCTGCAACGTCTCTAGCGGCGTTAATAAACGCTGGATTAATGTTTTCTGGCCAACCTTTATCTATAGAATATTTAATTCTGCAAATAATTTTTGAAGAGTTAACTATCTTGGCGAACTGCATTTTCGACATCAACCCTATGTTCAAATTGGTCTCTACAGTCAGCGAAATGATCTAGGAAGCCTCCCTTCAGTTGATCCCATGTAGTTGTTTATGTAACATTCGTCCAGAAATTACACAGTGATGGAGCGCCTAAAAAGTACCTATTGACGATTGGCTGACGTCAGTTACCTTGATTCTACTCGTTTTTAACCGTCTTGACCTAGCCAGTTGGTTTTCTTGGTTTTTTTATGGGCAAATTATCATGTCACCGTTTTTAGGGCATCAGCCAAACGAGTTTTAATCAGCTTTAGTTCATATGCAAAAATAACCTCGTAGCTGGGTCTCGGATCTACATAAAACGTTACAATTACTAAAAACACGGGCCAATAACCACAATGTAAAATATTTTAGTGACAGTTACATACTGGATTCATTAGAGATGAATTGAAACTTTCCTCGCCCTTAACTGCTCATGCACTGAAATACTATATCAATATCGAATTAGTTTAAATGCGTTCAGGGCATTACAACAGCTAAAAGTTGGTTAATGTTTGTTAAAAGTCTCTAGACACCGGGCCTCTAATAACTCCAACTTCTCCCAGAGATAATGTTGTTATCTCTCGATCTCCGTTGCACAGGAGGGTTCGGAGCTGTCTCGAATGTCCCACTGGACCTTCTGTCCACGCTGTCTTTTTCAAGTAAGCGCCTCTTTTATTTAATCGTTTCGTCTCACAATCGGCTGTTGTGTCCTTGACAGGCTGTTATAGTCAAGAATGGCTGTTTTTTGAATTTCTCAGAAATATTGCAGTCCAAATCAAAAATTTAAAGTTCTCTTTTTATTTCAAATTCGCTCTTGAGACCTTTAACTTCTCTTTCGTCGTTCACTGGAAGGTTCGGCTGGATTTAAGTTTTATGTTTTAAGAGGTTAGAAAGGATGAACCCGGAACTATTTTCCGATGGCTATCCAAAGGTTGGGATTGAGTTAGTTACTATTTTGTTAAAATGGAGCGTTGTGGTTTTAAGTCGTTTTCAGCTTAGCTTTTATACTCGAATTTTGAGCAGTAGGCAATTTTCTGTAAACGGAGCGTGATCACTTTTGCTTAGTGCTCAAATTTATTTAAATAGCGTCCACTAAAAGAGAAAATTGCTGAGTGCTCAACTTTGAGCTTCTAATTCTAGAATAATCTAGAACAGAAAATTGATGCGGAGCAACGCAATGAATAGGATTGAACTGAAGTGCAATTATACGGCGATTCAAATGTTTGATAAAATAGCTCTCGTAGTACTTATTGGCCTGAAATGCAATTGTGCGGCTCTGCATATGCGAATTAAATAGCTCTCTTATATCAATAAAAAGAAAAATAATTATTTCTGTTTCAAGTTTCTGGTTCAATTTGAACATAGAACAGGATATGGATGATCATATTGTATCATATATCTGGATTATAGATTCGAGCAAAGACAAAGCGAGAGATAATATAGCCCATTCTTTGGATAAAATCAAGTTTAAAGAAAGTATAGATGTTTGTGTGAGGATAAATCCTGTATCGTCTACGAGGGCAGTTAAAGACCTGGAAGCGGTGTTTGGTAGTCAGAATGCACCTGAATCGATATGTGTGCCGAAAGTCGAGGATCCAGGTTAGATATATTTATTGATCATATGGTATAAACGTTGTTTATCTGATGTTGTGTAAACTAGAAATATTAATTTTAAACTATCTGAACGAACTTTCAAATTAGGAAGTTTTTTTTATCAATTACGAACTGTCTGAGCTTGTTTTGGTTACTTTAACCGACCCAGTTTAGCTCAATTTTCTAAGGATTTTTGAACAAACATGTTAATTTAATTTTTTTTTTCCTTTCCAGCCGAGGTCGACTGGCTTCTTAACAAGATCTATGGCCTGGCAATGGAAAGACCTCCGAGCTATACAGTGCATATAGTGCTCATATGCGAAACACCTCGAGCTATCATAAATCTTCAAAGTATATGCAACGAAATGAACGAACTGTCGACAATGTTGAATTGTAACTTGGTCCCAGATGCCATTGTGTTTGGTTCTGATGATTACTTAGCCTCTGTTGGTGCTACGAGGACTGAAGATGCGACGGAGGTGCTGTATGTTAGACAGAAACTGTTGATGGTGGCCAAAATGTTTTCACTTCAGGCTAGCTTTTTTTAAAACTATCTTCGATTATAAATTTCTGCGAGGCTGATAATTAAATTGGTTTTCTGAAGTTTTTGTTAGTAGTATGAAGGTTTTTTTCCTAGCTTCGTTGCCCCAAAGTTTTTAAAGGTCATGTCAGACTGGGATTATTGCTTCAAGTTATTTCAGATGTCTGCATCTTTCTGTGATTTTTTTCAAGTGGTTTCATCGAAAGAGGGCTGTAGTGTAATCAGGGGCAGATTTAGGGGTGGGGGGGGGGGCGGGTGGCGAACGCCCCCTCCCCCCCTCAGGGATTCGACCCCCTGCCGACCCAAAGGGTCCCCCCTTTGATACTTTTTCAGAAATCCAGTTTTGGCCGACCGACCCTTAATTTTTTTCTAAAGGCGCCTTTGGCGCCAATATATACTAACTTTGAGGGGGAGCGCGCGCCAAAAAAACGCGATTTTTTTGTCAACATTTTTCAAAAAGTGCCCAAAAACGGCTTTTTTGACTGTTTTTTCAAAAATTTGTCTGCGGCTCAGAAAATTTTGCCAAAATAGGGGCAAAACAGTGCTTTGGGAGAGCTCGAAAAATCAATTTGGTCGACCTAAAAAAAAAGGTCGTCAAAATTTTGGAAATTTTTTGAAAATCCGCCCCCCTCGAGAAAATCCTAGATCCGCCCCTGAGTGTAATGACTGAAATAATATTGAAATTTTATGGAAATTGAATATTGAAACTTACTTGCTGTTGCAGGCTATTGACATGGTTTATAATGACCTAGCGAACGAGCAGGGTCTAATCAAGAGCTGCACAGAAGGTAAGCTGATGGGCTTCAATGGCAAACAAATCATAAACCCAAAACAGATCGAAACAGTGCAGACTTGTTTCTCCCCAACTGAACGAGAGATCAAATGGGCCACAGGGCTAGTGGCTGAATGGGAGAAGATGTCCAGTGATGGCGTCGGGGCTATTTTGTATGAGGGCAAAATGATTGACATGCCTTTAGTTAAACAAGCGAGAAACATACTGAGAGTGAAGCAAAATATGAATTTGTAACTGGTCTTTTTTCTTCGTTAAATTTTTATCTATTTCAGTGAAATGAATTTAAGAATTTGTAGTTATCACGAAAAAAAAAAGATGAAAAACCGGATCGATGCACTTTAAAACTAATTTAATTCTTTTTCAGATATTTTGTCATTTGAAAGTTAAATGAATAAATCAGTGAAATTATTTCGAACTTTCAGTCGATTGCAGATATGTTCTTTTTGCAACCCTGCTGGAAATACGCGTAGTTTTTGCTCACAGAGTATAGACAACAGGATATCAGAAGCGAATGGGAAACCAGATGTTGATGTAAGTGTAATACAATACAACCAAGCATTATCGTACGCGAAGGTTTTCATCTCAATTGGGCAACCCGTTCCCCTCGCGTCTGTCAGTATAATCCATTTCAGGGGCGGATCTAGGATTTTCTCGAGAGGGCGATTTTCAGAAACTTTTTTTAGGTCGACAAAGTTGGTTTTTCGAGCGCTCTCAGAACATAAAAAATACCCTGTTTTTACAAAAAAAAACTAGCCCCGCAGGAAATTGTTTCAGCATTTAGGTCGAAAATCCTGTTTTGGGCTCTTTTGGGAAGTTTTTTTGACAAAATAATCGCGTTTTTCGGCGACTCGCGCTCCTTCAAAATCAGTATATATTGGCGCCAAAGGCGCCTTTTGAACAATTTATGGTTGGTCACCTAAAATGGATGTTAAAAAATAGTATCCAAAGTGGGTTTATGGATTCGACGCCCTACCGACCCAAATGGTCCCTTCTTGGTACTATTTTGAGATATCCATTTTTGGCTGACGGACCCTAAGTTTTTCTAAAGGCGCCAATATATGCCAATTTTGAGGGGGAGCGCGATTTCCAAAAAAATGTCTAAAACGCCTTTTTTGTTGGCCTGTTTTTTAAAAAAATGCCTGGGGCGCAGAAAATTTGGTCAGAACGAATTCCACCCGAATTTTTGTCGAGTTTTCATATTAAATCCACGTAAATCCGAGTTGGTATAATTTTAAAATATGTCAGAGTCAGACAATTCAAATATGTGGTTGAATTCAGAAGTTGGCTAAGCCTGATGTGGAAACGAAGAGGCTGGACATAGCAGTTGTGGGTCACCCGAATGCGGGTAAATCGACTCTGGTGAACAGTGTGTGTGGGAAGGACGTGATGCCAGTGTCCTCCAAAGTGCACACCACAAGAGCATCCATGAGAGGATACCTCACCCAAGGTGCAGACTGATTAGATTAATATTGTAAAAGCATAGAATTAGATTAAGAACATTTATATGATAGGGAAGCCCCTTTTCTGCCCCCCCCCCTCTTTTCGCAAAGGGGGTAGGGGTAGAGATTCGTTAGTAGCGTATAAAAATTACATATGCTGAGCCGTTGAGTTATTTCTCTGTAGGGTTGACAATTCGTTTCTAGGTACCATAGCTTGAGATCAGTGATGTCCATTTGAAAAGAAGCAATATAAATAAGTTTTAATTTTCTTTTCAATTTTAATTTATTTAGATGTGAAATTATGAGCCCACTCAATTTAAATGAAAAACTTTAATTTAAGTCGAACAATTTAAATTGAAAAAAAAAACAACTTCCTTGGGCGGTATTCGATCCGGCACCACGGTACACAGTTAATTCATGTCAATTAGTTTCACTTTTCGCACTTTCACGGAACAAGCAATGAATCGAAATTTTCACGACAAGATTGATAAGGTTTTGTCTTACATAGATATGCCCAAAAAATTGCTTTCGATCTATTTTTTCAAAAAATACCCAAAAATGGCAGAAAAACTGCCAAAAACAGACTTAAGAAAAGTTTAAATTACCAAGGAAAAATTTAAATAGTTTCAGGGAAATTTAAATTGCCAACTATTTTAATAAATTTCTTGAACAAAGTTAATTTAAATTTCAGTTTTTACAGTGCTGATTTGAATTATCCAGACAAATCGAACAAAACTTGAATTTTCAAACGCGTTTTTCTCAAATTGGGTTAAGATTACACAAAAAGTGAAGAGAACAAAAGTTGCTTAGAATTTCACCAGAATTAATATGGTGCCATTTTTTCCCGAAATTCTCAACAAAAATTTTACCCCAAAAATGGGTTATTTTGGCTTTTTTCAATTAATCAAGAATTACGCTGAAACTACTTTGTTAATTGAAAAGAAAATTATATCACAAGAAGCCTCTCACGCAGTTCAACAAAGTTTAAGAAGGTTAAATCTCCAAAAAGTTGCGCAATTTGCTTAAAATTTATTTGTAAACAGATTCTGGGTTTTATATAGTAAAAATCACATTTATTGACTATCAAGTGAAATTTTTTTCTCTTATACTAGTTTTTGGGGATTTAACCCTTATTAAACTTTGTTGAGCTGCGTAAGAAGCTTCTTGTGATATAATTTTCTTATCAATTAACAAAGCAGTTTCCGCGTAATTCTTGATAAATTGAAAAAAGCCAAAATAACCCATTTTTGGGGTAAAATTTTTGTTCAGAATTTCTGAGAAAAAATGGCACCATATCAATTCTGATGAAATTCTAAGCAACTTTTGTTCTCTTCACTTTTTGTCTCATCTTAACCCAATTTGAGAAAAACGCGTTTGAAAATTCAAGTTTTGTTCGTTTTGTCCGGATAATTTAAATCACTGTATTTTAAATAGACATCACTGGTTGAGATAGTTGAAGAGATCTCAAGAATCTGTTAGTCTTTTTGATGACAAACTGTTGCTGTGGCATTGATTACACCGAAGACTTTAGTCAAGGTGTTATGGTATCGTGTAACGGGTTTTTTTTTAATGTTGTCTGTTGTCAAGTGTCGACAAATAACGTCCACAGTTATCAATTATCATGTGAGCTGGACTATATCGCGCTATGCCACGTGATTGCGTATGTTTGTTTCTTTATTTGTTCATCTTTATTTATTTAATTATCTGTTCTATTTATTTAATTATGTTTAGTTTGCTTATATTTATTTATAATTTATGTATGTACATATTTATTTTTGTTTATTTTTATCACGTGTTTTGTTTATTTATTTAATTATTCTTTCTTTCATTTAGTTTTGCTTTTATTATTTCTGCGTGCGTATTTATTTAATTTATTGTTTTTCATTTATTTATATTATGGGTCTGTTTGTTTGGTTATTTGTTCATATATATTTTTCATGTCTATTTAATTATTAGTACATTTCACTTTTGCTTTTATTTATTTATTTATTTATTTATTTATTTATGTATTTATTTATGTATTTATTTATTTATTTATGTATTGATTTATTTTTTTATTGCTTATTTATTTATCAGGTGTGTTTTGTTTATTTGTTGATATTTATTTCTATATTTATTTAATTATTCTTTCTTTCATTTAGTTTTGCTTTTATTATTTATGTATGTGTATTTATTTCATTTATTTATTTTCATTTATTCATATTATGGGTCTGTTTGTTTGGTTATTTGTTCATATATATTTTTTCATGTCTATTTAATTATTTGTACATTTCACTTTTGCTTTTATTTATTTATATATTTATTTATTTATGTATTCATTTATGTATTTATTTCTTTATTTATGTATTGATTTATTTTTTTATTGCTTATTTATTTATCAGGTGTGTTTTGTTTATTTGTTGATATTTATTTCTATATTTATTTAATTATTCTTTCTTTCATTTAGTTTTGCTTTTATTATTTATGTATGTGTTTTTATTTAATTCATTTACTTTCATTTATTTATATCATGGGTCTGTTTGTTTGGTTATTTGTTCATGAGATATATATTTTTTCATGTTAATTTAATTATTTGTACATTTCAGTTTTGCGTTTATTTATTTATTTATTTATTTATGTATTTATTTATTTATGTATTGATTTATTTTTTTATTGTTTATTTATTTATCAGGTGTGTTTTGTTTAAAATTTTGGTGTATACATGTGTTAGTACGATTTTTAGTTCTAGAAGTGTTATTTTATGATCTTCGTTGATATATCAAAAATTTAACCTATACATGTGTTAGTACGATTTTTAGTTCTAGAACTGTTATTTCAGGATCTTTCTCGATATAGCAAAATTTTGGTGTATACATGTATTAGTACGATTTTTTGTTCTAGAACTGTTATTCTTCAATTATTAGTTGTTCAAGTTGTTTGGTTTTTGCTTCAGTTTCTATGCCTTCGGTGTATTGCGCGTAGCGCCTATGTTTAAAACTTGATTAATGATTGATATTTTAAAAAATGCTGAAAAATGTCACTCTTCAGGAATGTTGTTGTTACCACGAGAATAAGTTGGCATCGGAAGATTTTGTTCGGAAGTTCGGATTGACACAGTTTGTGATTTTTAAATCTACTACTGAATTTCAGGCGTCCAATGTCAAACAATAGAAAACTGAGTCATTATTAGTACAGTTAACTTGCTCCTTTTGAGACATTTTTGGTGAGAAGGATGGAATTTAGTTACTGTTGGAAAAGTAATTGCTTGTTTAGTGTAGGTGATACTCAACTTATATTCTGGGATACTCCTGGTCTGATAGACAGCAAACAAGCGAGGAAGCACAAACTGCCTAAATCCATCTATGACGACCCAAGAAGAGCGTTTCTTCACTGTGATCTAATAGCCCTGATGATCGACTGTGAGGACCACAAGAATACGAATAAAATTCCACCAGTCGTGAAAGAGCAACTGGCCAAGTTGTTCGCGACAACATCAGTTTTCCCTGATAAAGAAGTCGTGCTTATTCTTAATAAGGTCGATGTGTACAAAGGTTAGTTCATGTAGGTTCAAACATTTTTCTCGACTCGTGGAATTTTCCCAAAAAGTGGCAATCGTAAAAAAGAAGTTTATACTGGTTGATTAAAAGTTCGAAATATACAAGTCCAATGTAAAAAAAAATTAAAAAGCCAGTTACGATTCGATAATTTCTTGAAGCCTGATATTTTATTGTAGGTAGCATCAAAAGTATGAAGAGCTTGGTCCAAGTGCTAACCGAGGGAATTATTGGAGGCAAATCAATCGAGAGTAGAAGTACACAGGCTAAGCCGGGCAAAGGTCTTCTTGCAGCCGACTTTTCAACCCATTTACCAAGCAAACTCAAACGAAGTCACGCCAGAAGTAAAATCAACGAAAACTCCATAGATGTAGAAAATGAATTGCTGACAAGAGAAAGTTTGGAGGTTGAAAATAGCTCAATGCTTGCGTTTGAATCTGAAAAGAAACCTCAAGAGAAGCCTTCGATTGTTGAAGTTATAGACAGAGACGATGAAGAGTATTTTCAACAGTTAAATGTGCTGAAGAAACGAAGGGGCTTTAATGGGTTTTCGGCCGTGTTTCAAATATCAGCATTGCGTGGTTTTGGATTGAGTGAGCTGAAAAGTTATTTTATGGGCAAAGCGAAGCCTGGGAAATTTGAGGTTGGTGAAACTTCAAGTTGCAGAGAACTTTTTGGCAAAATATGGTCATTTGCCATAATTCGGAAATCAACTTGATCAAAAACGTTTTGGAAATGTTAATACGCGAACTGCTTTTGCCGTGGGTCATATCACATACTAAGCCTACTATAGTTAGCATGCCGTCTTTTTTACTCTCCATTGACCATTTTAATACATGTGAAACTGAACTCAGCTAATTTGATCGGTTAATGCTTAATTACGCTATCTTCCCGGCGCATTTCATTGTTAGCTGTTAATGCTTCTCCGACCATATGCTGACTTTTTCTTCAGAAAACAAAGATTTGTCATCCGTTTTTTAAAATTTCGTATAAAAAGAAAAAGTAAATTAACGGCAAGTTTTTTGTAACGGAATTATATCAGAAAAATCCACAAGATTTTCACTCAAATTTTATATATTCGGTAGTCGCCCCTTTTTCGAAAAAAAATCGGATAATCTCAGCAACGTTATCAAATGATCCGTTTGTGGATTCTATGCAGTTTCTCATTTCTTATAATCAAAGCACAAAAACGGAAATTTGGGGGGAGGGGTAGTGGGGATGGAGTAATGCATCTTGCTCTTGGGGGTAATCTGGAACCGCGAAAATGAGAAACAGCTTCATCAGTTACCGGTCTTGTCTCTTTTCGTTCACATGTGTTTACCAGAACAGTAAAGAAAGAGAGATTATCAAGAAAGAGAGATTATCAAGAATGAGTATCAAAAAATACCCCCTTGAATGCTGTTTCAGGTAAAAGACGGGGTGTACACTAATGCGAGTGTGGAGAAAGTGATTGAAAATGCTATCATCTCTCGAGTGTTTGAGAACCTGCCACAGCATTTGCCATACAAGGTCAACATTGAGATTCAAGATGTGTTCGAAACAGATCACGAACTAGTCATTGTGGCTCTTCTCATTGTAAGTGGTGTGCGAGTGTGGTCGTCAAACCATTTTGACGGGATTTTGAAAGCCATCTTCTATTTTCCTAGAACTGGCTTTTAGGGACTCCTTTTTGTCCACTGTTGTGTGCTGTTTTTTAACCTCAAATACATCAATCAATGCCTGGTCACCCACAAGTTAATATTGATTCTTTTCGTTACGAAGTGGCTGGCATAGTTCTTAATTTGATTTAGTTGTAAGATTGAGCAGACTGCGATGGACAGATTAATAAGTCATATTGTGTTTAGACTCCCTACCAGATGGGTCTGATTTTGGGGGAGAACGCGAACACCCTTCGAAAGATCATCTCGGAGAGCAAAGAGCTCATCTCCACAATCACACAAGTGCCCGTCAAGATATCACTCACAGTAGAAGAGCGCTTCTATCCTCAGCCAAGGAGATAAACCACAAACAACTTTGATTTAAAACTTCATTTTCTGCGCATTGAAATAATCTGATGAGATTGTGTCTTAAATTGCAATTTAAATTGCTGAGTTTTGAAAGTGTATCCAGTTCTACGTCGGGTTTGTCGCTAGAGACCCTGAGCGAACTGCAGTGATAGACTTCGCCTGTACCAGACATCAGCAAAAATTCCCATCATCTATCTATTTCTCAAACAATCGATCACTCCATTTCAATCGGAAGCTGAAAACAGGTCGGGTATAGCTACAACAAGAACCAAAGGGTGCCATTATCAAACATTTGGCAATCAAAATTGAGGCTACGTGTGGGTAGGGCGACTCTTCTTTGGATGCTACTGATAACGTTGTTCTTTAATTGTCAATGAACGTTGTGAAGACGCTTATATAGGTCGTGATGATTTTTTCTGCGGTCAAACTTTTGATTTCTTTTAAGTGATATACAGTGCTGATTTAAATTATCCGGACAAAACCAACAAAAATTGAAAATTTAACACCGTTTTTCTCAACCTGGGTTCAAGTTAGACAAAAAAAAGAAAGCAAAAATTGCTTAGAATTTCACCAGAAATAATCTGATGCATTTTTTCTTCGAAATTCCCAACTAAAATTTTACCCCAAAATGGGTCATTTTGGCTTTTTTAAATAATCAAGAACTACGCTGACACTACCAAGTTAATTGATGAGAAAGTTGTATCACAAGAAGCCTCTTAAACAGCGCAACGAAATTCTCGGAGGATAAATTTTTCAAAAATTTGCCTAAGTCTTGAAATTGTTTTTAGCCAAAGAATTTTTTATAGTATATATTGTGTATTGTATTTTTATAAAGTAAAAATGACCTTTTTTGGCTATCAACCAGAAATATATTCTCTTGTACAGATTTTAGAAATTTTATCCTTTTAGATCCTTCGTTGGGTTGTTTAAGAGGCTTCTTTTGATACAACTGTCTCATCTATTAACTTGGTAGTTTCAGTGTAAATCTTCATTAACTAAAAAAAGCCAAAAAAACCATTTCTTTTTAAAGTTTTGGTGAAGAATTTTGAGGAAAAGATTGCACCATATTAATTCTGGTAATTCTAAGCAACTTTTTTCTCTTAACTTTTTGTCTAATCTTGACTCAATTTGAGAACTGGTTTTAAATTTCGATTTCTGATTTCGTTTTGTCCGGATAATTCTGTATATTCTTGTCGAAATTCAAAATTTGCAAATTTTTTGAAAATTCGAAAAAAAATCTGCTTTACCGAGTTCATTAACACTTCTCTAGCTGTCTGTTGTCTGTTTTGATTTTGAAAGTTGTTTTTGAGGGAGATTTCTTCATTTGAGAGGTTCTTAATTCGAGAGCGCTCATGATTGGTGCCATGATTGTTGCGTACGAGGGTGAAATTACTATTACTTAAAAGCTTCTGTCTTGCCAAATGCAAAAATGACTTAAGTGCATTAGTTATCGTCAGACATGCGAAGTGCAATAGTATGGTTGTATGATATGTATGAAATGGACTTGTTTTCAGTTGAGTGTATGTTGTAATGGGTAAGCATAAGGTGCGCAATGAGAACAAGAAGCGCAACCAGTTCCTGAAGAATCTAAGGGAGAAGAAGGGACTGTTGGCTGCCTCTGAGGAGTCGAAGAGAAAGAGGGAGCAGTGGGATGGAGTGGTAGAAGATGAGGTGGACCAGTTCGATCTGGACAAAGACCAGATACTCTTAAGTGGAACAAAGGGACCACGCCAGGATGAATCAGAGGAGAGGTAATTGAGACTGAATTCTTCTACAGAAATGAGTCTCGCACTAATTTTTTTCAAAACGTTACTGGACGTTGTGGAACCACTAATGTATTTGGCTTTGGTTTTTCATGATTTTATATTGGTGGTTTTTATTTTGAAGTAAGTTTTTTAAATTCATTTTCTAGTTAGAGCCGAAATTAGGCTATCCGATTCCACAAAATAGAACTAATTTTCGAAAAATTTCGTTTTGAAATCATATATTTTCAATGGAATCGTAAATGCAAAAATACAAAAAAGGCCATAAAGTTCTATATTTTATGATTAGACTGAAATGATATTCGGCTGTGTTCGCCGCAGCTCATTAATAAATAAATGAAATTTAAAAATTATTTCAGCGAAGAGGAAGTGTTCGGACTTGAAGGAGTTGACGACTCAGACGAGTACGAAGATGACGTCATAGACGGAGAAGACGACCAATCAGAAGACGACGAAGATGAAGACGATTCTAGAACGTTTGATGAGGGAAGAGAAGATAAACAATCAGATGACGTAGACAGCATGGCTTCGGATTTGGAAGATCGTCGGAAATTTTCAGACGACGAGGATGGTCCACAAGTTCTAAGAGCCTCAAAATCTTGGGGAAACAAATCGTCTGCATTTTATGGATCTGATTACCAGAGACAGAAAAAGAAAACAAGAGAAGAAGCAGATGCTTTAGAAGACGAAGAGGAAGAAGCGGTCATTGCGCATAAAAGAGCTCTGGTAAATCAATTAGCCGAAAATGATTTCGAAACGGAGCTCTTTTTTGATGATAAAAACAATGAAATAGAGAATGATTCTAAAATTGCTTCAAGTTCTGTTAAAGTTCAACCCACGCTCGTGACCCAAGAAGAAAAGGTTGCTAATTTGAAGTTGAGGCATCCTGAACTAGAACACATGATTGAAGAGTACAACTCGATAAACGAAGAATTAGTTAATGAATTGGAACCAAAGCTACGGAAAATTAACCCCGATAAACCCGATTTAATTACTGAAAAGCAAAAGTTAACTCAGCTTAAGTACACTGTTTATTCGCATTATGTGATGTGTTTATCTGTTTATTTTTTGTTGAAGATGAACAAGGAACCAACTGAAAACCATCCGGTTATGGAAAAATTACTAGATTTCAGAAAATATATAACGAAGTTGAATAAATTTGAAAAGCAAAGCAAAAGTGGCGCTAATCAGTTGAACCATAAATCAAATGATGAATCTTCTGGTGTTAAGAAAAATTCCAACGCAATGGATGTTGAGAGTTTCAGTAAAACAGAAGATGCATTCGATCTGTACGAGCAATTGAAAATGTACCAAGAAGGAAAGAAAACTTTGTCAAAACTAGCCAGAGAAAATCAAGAAAAAGAAACTGAGTTAGAGCGCGACCAAAAGATTCAACGCAAGAAAGACCAAATGTCGAAACTGATGGTGGAAAAAGGCGGCGTGACCAAGCGAAAAGTGTCGAGGCCGATTCGCGTGAACAAATCAGTGGTTGAAATGAGAAATATACTAGCGAGAAAAGAGAAGAATCCACGAACGAAGAATAGAAAGAAGTCTCTGATTGCAAATATAAAGAGAAGTGGTCAAGTTAGACCCATGAGGGACGCTTCAGTGAACTACAAGGGCGAGACTACAGGAATAAACGTACAGGCGAAGCGGGGAACGAAGTTATCATAGTGATTGAATTAAATGTGAGCATAAATGTTGAGCCAGATTGGAGAAATGGGAACGATGTTGCTGGAGTTGCAGAGGGCATGGCATGGTTTGATGTTTAATGCCGGCGATTTGTCAGAACAGAACCTACTAGTCCATTTCTTTTCTAAAAACAATTGGAAGCAAGCTTGATTTCGAAAAAAGAAAGATTCAAAATAAATCTAGCTATTTTCTATTGTTTTTATCGAGATTTAGGTGAACTGGAATTGGCTCTCAGTTATCAAACTATCACGTTTTGTGTTCTATTTTTGTATTCTGCAGCATTTAAGGTTAGTGACGCGTTAGTTAGTGCTCAGTTTTTAATGTTAGGCGGTGGCTAAATTTGACTCCATCTGTGGAAAAGATTCTTGAAGAGTGAGCCCAGCCAGAGTTTCATCGTTTACATATTCTTCTTCGTCATCGTTGTTCTCATTTGGAATGTACTGTTGAATTACTTCTTGGCCGAAGTCTAGATCCAAGTCCGTTGCCTGGAAAATAAATCAGTTTTAGAGCTATAAGATTTCTTCTCTGTATTGTTTTTTCTATGAGCGAATCGGCCCATTCGGTATCGATTCAAAAAACCATATCATTTTTAAAATAAAAAACCAAACCAGTTTTTTTGTTTGTCGGTGTCGACCTATTTTGTTGAACGTAATTCAATACTTTATTTGAGACGACTCACGGTTGGAACAGATGTGCGTTTGTCATAATTCTGCCGATGATGTGCACTCCAGAGGCGCCGTGAACTTTCCACTTTTTCTTCCGTGCTCTCATCGCCATGCAGGGAAAGTCTACCGGCTGCCGATGATACGGCACTCTTGACGTTGCGGCCCCTCGTGATTCCGCTTGCGGGAGTCCTTAGCACGTTGATTGACACTCCTCGGTTCCTCAGATCGGCAGTTTTGGCGCGAACTTTGGGGTCGATGTAAAGGCGCCGCGATTGATTCTCTGTTGGATTCCGAGGGAAGATTGCAGATTTAGATCTATCGGGTTTTGTGACTGTGCTTGGAGATGAAATTTGTTTCTCGAGGGCGTGAACTGACAGTTGAAACAAGCGAGTTGTGTTTCTGGGAGCGTATTTCGAATCTGAAGTGAAATCTTAAGTTAGCGTAATGAAATGTGCCTTAGGGTTTTTTTCCTGTACAATTTTGCATAAAGTTATCTAATTTCAGACACTGATTCAGTTTACGAGCTCTCCGAGAACAAAACAGAGACCACATTTTAAAGTTTTTTTTGTCGATTTTTGGGCATTTTTATAGATCTGTTCGATAAGCCCAATTTTTATGTCCACTCCGTTTAGTCGGAATAAAACTCCCGAAATTACAAGACTATTTAGATACATTAACTTAAAATGCATAGCATTACTAGTCCTCGTAATTACAGATAAATGTTAGTAAGTTACAAAAGTTACCTAACGGTACTGCAGTCACTGATCTGAGAAGCCAATCTAAAATCCCTTCGTCATCTCTAGGAGTCTCGGACGTGCGAATATTCATCTGTTGTTTGCGCTGCTTGGTATACAGTAACTCCCGGTGGAATTCACTCTTTCTCTCAGCGATGTCCATGGGTGATTTGGATGTCCCGTTACGAGCGTGTTTCACATCCCAGGTTTCGGTTAGCGTGCACATCTGAGGAGGTCGTTTGGCTCCATTCGAAAGAGCTTTGGCGCTGGATTGGTCCACGCGAGAAGAATGCTTGCTGCTCCTAAGTAGTTGTTGAAACTTTGATAAAAATTTCTAGGCTTTGTTAATTTTTCGACAATTTTTTGCTTTTTATTGATTTGCGTATTAATTTTGTAAATAATTAAGCAATTATAAAAGTCAAAAACAATTATAGCTAAATCAATACAGTAATATCAAATTGAATCCAAAGTAATGTTGTTTTTGTGACTAACTGAATACGTTGGAGGCTGCTGTCGACACTCTGACTGTGGTTCTGTCTGTCGTGGTCGTGTCTGTGTCTGAGAGACCTCAAGTACAACATGTAATGCTTCTGATTGCCTGCCATGTTCCGCCCACTGGAGTTTTTTCCCCATTCTGGCATCTTGTGTGTCGAAATAGGTCGCACCTTCAACAGCGATTTTTGTTTTTGAAAATCATAACAACTTTTCATGAGGAGCAAGCATTGAACATGTTGCTAAAAGGGACAATGTTCAAACGAGTGTACACAAGTTTCACTCGTAAATATGAAAAGGCGGGAATGAGGAGGCTTCAAATTGTGTAGTATGTACTATGGCTAGCTAACTAGTACTGACCTGCGATGTTCGCTCGGTGTGTTGATTGGAATTGATTACCTGACGTGGGGTCTGTTGGTTTTGTTCCTGGAATGGCTGCAGTCTTTGTGGTGGAGGGGTGCCGATTGTCCTGTCCTTGTGGTAGTAGTCTTGACTGTGGTATGGATCAGCTGCACGCATGTACTCTTTCGATTTCACTTTGGGCTAAATTGCAAGTTAATTTAAGAAAGTTGTCCGTTATTTTTTCTTTTCAACCTTGAGGGTCGAAAGTTGTAAATGTCAATTGCCGAAAAAGTAGATTACCGATTCTAGTCGAACTCCGATACTCATGAGTGATGACTGCGAAAATAAATTTCATCTCAAAATTGTATTAGACGAAGAGAGTAAAAATAAGTTTTTTTAAAGAAAAAAAGGCGATGTTGGTGTTCATTATGTTGATTTTTGGTGTATGGTTTTATATTGATAAACATGTACTAACATTAAACATAATCTGACGGTGACTAAAAGGGTGCAGGGCATCGCGAGGTGTAGTGACCAGTTTCTCCCCTTCCTCAGGCAAATCGATCGTCCTCAAACTGGGGTCCTTTTTAACATTTATCTGCATCACTTGATCTAATGCCATCGAAATTCTCGATTCACGAGGGCTAATTTGACTAAGATCTAAAGACGTTTGAGGCCCTTTTGTTGTATTTGGATGTGCACTTTTGCTCCTGGAATTATCGTTTTGAGCCACTGATTTTTTATAGTTCCAGCTAGATTTGGGACGCCCAGGTGGATTGTAATAGGTATAATAGAAATCAGGTTTTGTCGATCCATTTGGGATTAATGCATTAACAGTTAATGATAAATCCGGTGCCTCCATTTGAGTTTCCAAAGCTAAATTGAAATTGAAGAAAAAAATCAATAATCAGTTGTTCAATATACGCTGAATTTAACAAATTTTTATAGTCTTTTATCGTTTTTGGCAATTTTCTACGCTTTTTTTGCTGAAGTGATCTCGAAATGTTATAACAGAGTTGAGTTCAGATGTAATCTATAATCCAGCGCACACTCATGCTTGTAACAAAGTAGAATTTGTTCTTGAACATTTTACGCTCAGTTGTTGATTGAATAAAAAACGTTGTCTGCTCATTTTTACTACGATGAGAGCTTCGTTACGTTTGGTGGTTGAGATTTGAAACAACCATGTTGGATGTGTATTCTTTTTTAAAATAGAAATGAAACAAATAGTGTAACGGTTTCTAATTTTACTGCTAGTTTTTTTTGTATCAAACCAAAAACCGTTAACTATTGAAGCTATCGCACCCATGAAATCTTTGACACATATCATAAAATATTTACATGAAAATTTGAACACGACTACTCTTAGCTCTTGATTCTCCAAAAGAAAGAAAAACTAAAATAGTAATTCTACCCGTGTATTAACTGGTATATGTAATATTTACCCTTGGTATGAGTCCACAAGCAAAGGCTCCGGTATTACAACCAATGTTTTATGCCCAAAAAACTATGCTTCATACCCAAAAAAAATTGTAGAAATTGATTCATCAAGTAAAAAAAATAAATCATTTTTTTCAGGTTTATCTTTGTTTTTGTAACGAACCCCTTGATCGATGATTGATTCAAAATACTTGAGGCTTGCGTAAAATGAGCTTCAACAACTATTATCTGCCTTCTGGCAACCCAAACTCAGCCGGTACAATGCCTGGAATCAATATGGGCGGAGCTACTTCGTCACCTTTTGCTGAGTTGATGCAGAACCCAGAAAGTGTTCAGCTGTTGTCCCAGATGTTGCAAGATCCGACTGTGAGAGCGAAGCTTCATTTGCCCCAACCAAACCAAACTAGTCAGCGTCCGGATATAGTTGAATCTGGCTTCAACTCTGTTGGTGGTAGCAACTTGAATCGAAACATAGCGACGCCGAACAATATTATGTGGACGAAAAGGGAACAAGGAGATAAACTTCCTTCACCTCCCATTGGTTTCTGTACTACTGGAGATGTTGCTAATTTGAGTGCAACTCCCCAGGTAGCAGCAACAGCGTCTTCAGTGAATTTGAACAGTGCGAATAACATACCACCAAACATGCCAAAAATGTTCCAAGAGTTCCAGCAGTACATGATGGCGAAACAGTTTGCAGACAGTCTGAATAGCGCACAGGAAACGTATCAGCTGGTGATTCCAGCCACGTCTACGAAACAGGCACAACCAGATCAGTTGCCACAACCGCCGCCGTTTTTTCCGCCGCCACTGCCTTTCGAAGTGTTGAAATCTCAAGTGAATTCAACCAACCCGAACTTAGGCCAAATAAACAACGAAATGAGCAACGTAGGCAGCAAGGCTGCAGGGGGAAACTTAGGACGTGGAGATGACTCCAACGAAGAAAGCTCAGCTTCTTGGTCTGCGCCGAGTCGAAAACGAGGAGCAAGTGATTCTTTTGATTCATTTTTCAAAGATCCTGCCCAGAGTCAATCTATGTCGCCTTTTACGTTTTCTGCGAAGATAAATAATATGAAACAGAGTAATGGAAACGGATCGACGATAACTGTCAAAAACGAAACTGGAAGTGGAGGTTTCAAAAACTCAAATTGGAACAACAATATTGCACAAGAGTCAATGTTAACTTCGCCGAAAAGCGCCTCGAGCAACAACTCGATGTCTTCGTCAGAAATTTTCGCTTGCTTCAAGCAGAGTTTGAACGGTCCACCACCATCAGTGAACTCGACAAGCAGTCTTTCAAAATTGGCAGTCTATGATGATGAAATAAGCAAAGTAGTTAACCCCACTGTAAAAAGCCCAGTTGGTCGAATGAACAATCGACCGAATGATCAGATCATGTTTGGATCTAACATCTCAAAGGTTTCAAATACAGTAGTCCCTGAAGTGCGTAGAACTGAATATCTCGTTTCAGTAACTGAGAATTTTGGGGCTACCAAAAGTGCCATACCAAGAACGGGATCCCACAGACGTGCAAATGTTTATTCGAGGAACCCTTTTGCTCAATCAGTATCTGTCAAGCAAGAGTGGGGAGTTCCAGGTCAAACAGTTTGGTCCAAGCCTCCTCCTCAGAAGACTAAGCCGCCCTTCAAACCAATCTCAAGATCTAACGATTCTTTTTCGAGATCCTTCATGGCCTCCACTTCGGTGGAATCGTCTTTTGCGACAAAACCGACGGCTTTTTCATGGTCGCAACCTTTTGAAAATGATAACGATAAATATGAATCTTTGATTTCATGCGATCCCTGCAATAAAGTGTTTTGGACTAAAAAGTCGTTAGAAGAACATAAATTGGAGCATTCAAAATGTCCTCATCCAGGATGCTCATTTTCAGCCAATGAAGAGGCTGTTGAAACTCATTTTGCTAATACTCATGCAAGAGGGATTCATTTGAAATTGGACACGCCTGAAGACATTCGCAAATGGCGCGAAGAAAGAAAGAAAAAGTTTCCGACGAAGCAGAATGTTGAGATGAAGATAAAAACTAAAATGGTTCGGGAATCACGAGGCGAGACTATAGAAACGATGTCGTACTCGAATTGTAAACCTAGAGGCAATTACCAGAATTCGCAACAGCAACAACCGGGTAATAAGAATAGTGATGCAATGACAGTGAAGCAAGAAGTGAAGAACAATGCAGGGTTTGCGAGGAACCCTAGATTGACAAGCCGCCAAAGGTAAAACGCGAGCTTCTGCTTATTTGACACAGTAGCGGATTTAGGGGAGGGGGCAGCCCCTCAGGGATTCGACCCACTGCCGACTCAAAGGGTCCCCCTTTGTACTATTTTGAGATATCAGTTTTTGACTGACTGACATTAAAATTTGTCTAAACGCGCCTTCGGCGCCATTTATATTAATTTTGAGAAGGGAGCGCGTGCAGAAACAACGCGATTTTTTTAAATCAAAATCTTCAAAAAATGTTCAATCAATTGGGTCGACCTAAAAAAGGTCGACAAAGTTTTTGACCTTTTTTGAAAATCCGCCCCCCTCGAGAAAATCCTAGATCCGCCCCCGATTTGATAATTATTATTTTGAAATCAAAACTCAAAGGTTTCGAGCTTATGTAATAACAATTTTGAAGAAATAATGATTATCTGGCGCTAATTTTACTTGTCAGAAGTTTTATAAAATTATTTGACTGAGGTAATCCATCGGGATATCTGTTTCCGATGACCAATTTCAATTCAATATTTGAAATTGAATACACTTTAATAACTGATTATTTGTTGTTTTAAGAAAAATTTCATAAAAAAACATTAGTATACATTTTTTCGTTGCTTTTCAGGTATCTGTCGAAGTTCACAAGACCCGGAGATGCTCCTAAGAAGCCGAAGTTCATTGAAATCAAGAAAGAAGACTCGGATTCTGAGGATAGTGACTCGCCTCCAATGGAAATTCCAGTTGGTAAACAGGATCCAGTGAATGTTACGAAGTCTCCAGGTTCTGAGCAACGTTTGGATTCACCACAAAGTCCACAGAAAGAGATGAACAATAATGAGATAGGATGTGAAAACTTTCAGAGAACTTATAAGAAAAGGCCTCGAAAGGCGACTTTGCTGGAAATGCTGATAGCTCCTGATATTCGCCATGAGCGAAATGTTTTGTTGCAATGTATGTACTTCATTGAGCAGAATCAATTTTTCTCGTGTTAATTTTCAAATTTGCGATAACAGAGAGAATAAAAGGTTAATTACGCAAATCAAATACTTATTACGCAAGTCAAGTAGCAAAAGGAGCAGAAGCGAGCCTAGAACGGAGGAGGAAGCGACCGCTTCTCTCTAATCTGGGTATCTTTATTTAAGTGCAAGTTTAAGACATCCTTTTTAGCCGACCATCACATCTCATACTTACTATTCGTGATTGGCACTTCCCTCGTCAAGCTCTTACCATCACTATCAGTTAGCTGACGATTTCCTTGTTTTTTCTTGAGGCGCCAAATAGCAACAATTCAAGAAGGGGACCGAGCGTTGAAAAACTTTTTAAAGATTTGGTCGAAATCTAGTGCTTTAAGCTTTATTTACTCAACGGCTTCAAATTCTAAATAGATGAAATGGCTCAAGCTAATAGTGAGCTGCTACAGCCTACAGAGGACGAATTACAGAGTAGCCGTGGTCAAATTCAAAGGATAAAATTCAAAGCTCATTTCAAAGGTCGTAGGTTCGAATCGCATGGTTTGAGGGGTCCCCGTGTCATCCGTCTCTTCATGATGGGGGACCGGCTACGGCGAGTTGGATGAACGGCCAGAGGTATAACGGTGAAAATAGAGCCGCGGGCTTAAAAAAGACTTGGAATAGCTTTTATATTATTTACAATGACTAAATTAACAAGACTAATAAGCTGTAGGTTTTCTTGGTTCACTGTTGTAATTTTCAGCGATAGTGGAGATCGAATTTACCACTTTATTTCCTGGAAAGCAAAATGGGCTCAAAATTCAAAACACTAAATTTTCTTAGCAGAATTCTGTTTAGAACTTCATAAATGCCCCTATCACAACCAAAACTTTCAAATTTCACATTCTAGTCGACACGCTCGCGGGCTAAATCCCCCAGGATAAAAGCCCCCCTGATAAAATCACACCAGATATATACCCCCAGGACTAAATACCCCATAGGACCAAATCCCCCTAAGACAAAATCCCCCAATATTTGTTTCCAGACAAAATCACCCTGCTAGCAGACAATCTCCCTGCTACACGACGGTGTGTGACATCTTTTTGGGGTATCTGAGTTTATTCGGATAAAAACGAAGTACAACAATACTGCACTCATGTGGTCTGAGCAACAATCAACTTAACTTAGTAATGTAAAACCGTTCTTGAATGTAACTGTTCGACGGAATTATCCTTACGAATTTTTTTGTTATAAAACAAAACACAACTTTTTAAGCATTAGAGATGTTTGCATGTTTTTGTCGAATAATGCGTTTCAATTCAAATGGACTTTTTATCGTTAATTTTGTCGTGAAACTGGAGTACGACGACCAGGTACAGGAGAGAGCAAGGGTTGAACATCGATGTTACTTTTAGACTGAGAAGTCAACTTTTCGAGAATTTGAATTTTTGACAAGGTTTTTTTTGAAATGCAGTGTTACTGGCAAAAATCGATCAAATTGGGAAGCTTCAACGTATTTGACAATTTCATTTTATTCTGTGGCTCAAAAAAAATCAAGTGAGAGCATGTGTCATCAATTTTTGGTTCAGATCTTTATAACTTATTTTGCTCCAAAAACTGCAACAAGCGTTCTTTCAAACTGCAGAAAAAATTAAATCACCATTTATTTGTAATCATTGAGCATATAGTAATTAGTATGCAATTAAAATGCAGAAAACATTTTTTAAAAATTCTAATTGAGTTCAGTCAAAGCTTATGTTGAAAAATGTTATGTTCAGAAGTTTTTGTCATTTTATGGTCAGAAAATTATGTCGAAAAAAAAATTCGCAAAGAGCGCCCTGAACAAGTAAACGCTACTGGAAATATGTCCTTATTAGAAATATTGTCCACGATAATTCTACAAGCTAGTATAGTGTTATATTACGTATCGACGTGTTTTTAAACCTAACTTGCAAATGAAAGGCTCTTTTAGTGGCGCTTTTGCTGCATAGCATTTGTAATTGAGTATTTTTTACTCTATCTGGTTCATTTTTGGCTAGTGTTTGCACATTAGCAAATGATTATGGCTCAAATGCGATAAAGTAAAACTCGTAAAAAACCCTCTGAATTTTTTACTCACAAAGAGCTAAACTTATGGCCATTTCCTTGCTTGTAATTGCAAAGTTTAGCTTCATCCTGTTGGCAGTGTTTTAATATTTTTTTCTTCAATTCAATTTTCCCTTCTTGTAAAGTTTCTTTGCCATTTTTTGCTTGTAATTGCGAAGTACAGCTTGAATAGTTCAATTACTGTTAGTTTTGTTGCTAAGCAATTTGATTTATTTATAATAAAATTCAATTTTCAACATTCTGACGCTTAGGACGGTCACACTTGCTTCTTTGTCATAAACTACTGAGAAACTTGTAATACTATTGGAACGCTGAGGTCACAGAAGTCTTTTCATAGAAATTTTTCCAAAGTTGTGCTTCTGATGTTAAAAAGACACAAGTTTTATCTAATTATGATCCGGTTGGGCATTATTTTATCCATATCTTAGCTAGTGATTGCATGAGAAGTATTGAAACTTGCTGTTGTCTTGGGTTCCGCCAAGAAAATCGAAAATGATTTTCTGGCTTTTTGTATAACTCAGGCAAACCAGATCCTGATTGATCACTTTTGTTTCAAGTTTTGGTTGGAATGATAGCAAAAAAGCCAATCAATGAAAAAAACTTAATATTAAAAAAAAGAACTAAAAATGATTAGTCGAATTCTGTATCATGCTATAGAATTTTTCGACCAAAAGGGTGAAGGTAAAAAAACAAGATCAAAATAAAAATAACAAAAATATTCAATTTCTTATTTTCTGAGGATAACTACTAAAAAAGGTGAAGCTTCTGTAATGACAAACAATGATAATGATAAATGAGTTAAATTGAACGTTTATAAATTTAGACTACATATTTTGGATTCAGGTGGAATTTATATCGTGTCCCCTGTTGTTAAGCTAAGCACCAAGATCATTATAAAGGGTTCCTCTATTTTGCTGGGTGGATCTACCACACAGAAAAAACGACACTAATTGTATTTTTGTTAAGACTATAGTCGGAACATGTTGTGATATTTGCACAGTAACTGGCTATCCTTGTTTTGTACTTGAAGCTAGGGGCAGATTTAGATATTTCTCGAAAGGAGGCGAAAAAAGAAGTTTTAGGCAATTTTTGAAAAATGTTGGACTAACAATCGGATTTTTTTCGGCTTGCGCTTCCACCTCAAAATTGATATCTATTGGCGGCCAGGGCGCCCGTGGAAAAATTTAGGGTCCGTCGGCCAAAATTGAAGATCTCAAAATAGTACAAAGGCAGACCCTTTGGGCCGATAGGGGGTCATTATTGAATGGTTAACTGCGGTCCGTTATCTACTATTTAAAAACAAAAACACTTAACGCGAGCATCTAAAGCAGCTGATTGCTATGAGAATTTTTGTTGTAGTAAAATGGTGACATCATTTTCACTTCTAACAAATGAATTCTCTGTCTTAAAGCTTCTTTGGAAAAGTATTTCGGATTTAATTACATTACATTTTCAAGAAATTAAAAAACTATGTACACTGAATAAAGATCTGGTCTTACAAAACTAAAATAATAATAATTTAAAACTGCATCAAACATCAGTCCATGTTAAAATTAGAAGCATTTTCTATGCACAATGCTCGGTCCACACTCGTCGTATTCCTCTTTTGATACCCACATCTGCTGGAAAGAAGACAGAGAAGCCAAAATTGAGCCCCCAATCCAGACGCTGTACTTCCTCTCAGAAGGTGCAACCACTTTCACCCTTACTCGGTCGCCATTCAGTTCTGTGAGTTCCTTGCTCAATCTCTCCGCGATTCCCGGGAACATCGTAGTGCCACCGGAAAGCACAGTGTTGTAGAAGAGATCTCTGCGGATGTCAACGTCGCATTTCTGGATTGCTTTGTAAGTCATCTCGTGGACTCCGAACCCTGATTCCATTCCAGTCAGTTCAGGTTTGAACAGAACCTCGGGACATCGGAACCTCTCACTGCCAATCGTGATCACCTCTCCGTCGGGAAGTTCGTAGTTTTTCTCAACTCTGCTCGACTTTTCGGATTCCAGCAGTTCTTGGTCGAAGTCGAACGCAGTATAGCATAATTTCTCTTTGATATCCCGAACTATTTCCATTTCGGCAGATGTAACAAAATTGTAGCCCCTCTCATGGAGAATGCGAGCAAGGTATCCGGTCAAGTCACGTCCTGCGAGGTCCATCCGCTGGATTGCATGTGGCAACGAGTAGCCTTCGTATATCGGAACTGTATGAGCAACACCGTCACCGATGTCCAAAACACATCCAGTTGTTCTTCCAGAAGCATAGAGCGATAGAACGGCTTGGACACCAACATACATCGCTGGCACATTGAACGTCTCAAACATGATTTGGGTCATCTTTTCTCGGTTCACTTTCGGGTTCAGGGGCGCTTCAGTGAGGAGCACCGGATGTTCCTCTGGAGCAACTCGGAGTTCGTTGTAGAACGTATGATGCCAGATTTTTTCCATGTCATCCCAATTGGTCACGATTCCATGTTCGATTGGTTTTCTGAGAGCCAAGATTCCTCTTTTTGACTGAGCCTCATCTCCGATGTATGTTTCTTTGATTCCCATTCCGACCATGATGCTGTCATATTTGGGTCGACCCACGATTGAAGGGAAGACTGCTCGAGGAGCATCGTCGCCAGCAAAGCCAGCTTTGACCATTCCGGATCCATTGTCAATGACAAGAGCTGGGATATCACAATCTTCAGCGTACATTGTTTGTATGATTTTGTAATTTGGGTTGCTTACGAAAATGATTGGCTAGATTGTACTTTGCTAGATTGGCTAGAGGTTTCAAGAGTTTTTATCTCGATAAGTGGTCAGTATTTGACGAATAATTGGATTTAATAATCTCAAATATTGTTTGAGGGAAAATTGTTTTACTAATTTTTTTGCTCAATCTCTTTTTATTTATACTCATTGTTTCGTGTTCTACAAACTATGATGTAAATTCGCTGAAGAAATTATCAAGAGACCAAATTTGCATCAATTTCTTG